AGGAAGCATGCAGTTTTCAAGTTGTACTGGCGTAAGTTTATTCTGTGTAATCCCTAATAAACTGGAATGTCCTCTGGGAAGAGAACTCTAAATGATATGTTAAATTTATGGTGTCCTCTCAGAGGGGATAACCGAGTGTGAAGGGTTAATTCGAGTCAGTTTTCCTTAGAAGGCATCTTTCTTCTAAGGCAGTCGTTGAATGCTTTGCTTTAATAAAGTATCTAAATTTTTCTATAAATTTGAACTTATAACAGGAGTGTTAATATTTTAAGTAACTTCCAGGCAATATGATACAGGCTAAGTTCAGAATTGCATCTGATGGTAAGTTGTCTCATTCTTCTGTCAGAGATCCAGCAATGCCGTAATGGATAAGACGTTTAACAATTAAAAACAATTAAAAAGAAAAAGATACAGGGGTTGGACAAAAATATAGAAACACCTCGTAAAATGCATGTTTAAACTGAAATGTTTATTCTTGCAAAAATTGTTGCGGTGGTGCTGATGTATTTGCTTACTAACGCCACCTGTATAACATCCTCAATACGTACCACGCGTTATTCGTTATCGAGACAGTGTTCTGTGCAATTGTGAGTGAATTATGTCGGAGCTAAATGAATTCGAAAGTGGGCAAATTATTGGGGCTCGTATGGTGGGCGCTTTCATAATCAAGGTAGCTGAAGCGTCTGGCGTTTCAAGCGGCATAATATCTAAGATTTTAAACTCATACTGGAAAACTGGAAGAACTGCATCCTCTAAATCACAGCGCGGACGAAAATGTGTGTTGAGTGATCATGACAAACGATCATTGAAGAGGATTATAATGAAAAATAAGAGGACTACAGCCGCAAAAGTGACTGCTGAACTGAATGTCGCACCTGTCAACACCAAAAGAATACGAAGGGAGTTCCACAAGTAGAGTATTTTTGGGCGAGCTGCAATTCAAAAGCCACTCATCAGTCATCAAAATACCTTTAAGAAGAGAAAGGGGTGCCAAAGGCATAAAACCTGAATTGTAGAGCAATGGAAGACTGTCACTTGGTCGAATGAGTCTTGCTTCACACAGTTTCCGACTTCTGGGCGAGTTTAAATCTGGCAAACGCCGTCCCAAGCGTATGAAGGATTAGGATTATTCAGTTATGGCAAAGCACACGAGTGCTATCTGCCTAAAGGGAGGGATGCCTTCGTGGAGGACTTTCTAAGGGAAACTGGCTCATATACATGTTACACATGGGGAAAACCACGAAAACGCCCATGCAGCCAGCCCGTTCGCGGGATTCGAACCTCGGACCGAACTACCAGTGTTCAGCGTCTTTACCGCTCGGCCGCTGGTGTGCCAAGCGTATGAAGGTGACTGTTTGCGACCGTGAGTGAAACCTAGCGGAGGTTAGATAATACTTTGTGTAGCTATATTGTGGTATTCCATGGAACCTATCATGACTGTACAAGGTCACATTGCTGCCAAGGATTATGTGACCATTTTGGCTGATCAGGTCTCTCCCGTGGTACAAATTTTGTTCCCTCATGGTGATGCCGTATTCTAAAATGACAGAGCTTCTGATCACTCAGCTCACATCGTCCAGGACTGGTTTTCCGATCATGAGTGTGAAATTTCACATCTACCACGGCCACAACAGCCACAGATAACAATATTATTGAGCCTTTGTGGGCTATTTTGGAGAGAAATATGCGTGAGCGTTATTCATCTCCAGCATCGTTAACTGAGCTTGCCACTGAGCGAAGCATACAAGTTCTCTGTTTAAGCATTCCGAGAAGATTGCAAGTTGTTTCTAATGCCAGCAATTTTCCTATACCGTATTCGTCACAGTAATATAGCTTTATTTCGGTGTTTCCATGTCATTGTTCAACACCTGTATCTACATTCGTTTCTCAGATCAATGCTGATCGAAATTTATCACGATTATTTCGGCATCTAATTAAAGTTTTAGAAAATTTAGCTTACAAAAACATAAATGTGATTGAAGAATTAGATTGCAACAACATAAATTAGACTAAAAATTTTGACTATTTTATCAGTAAAAAATGATGTTCTAATAAATGAAATATCCAAGTAATACGTTTCATGAAGAATTTAAACTTAAGTTCATACAAAAACAAAGGGGAAAAAATTATGTATAACAAAACTAAGAGGATTTGGTTGCAAAGAAATAAATAAGATTACTTGTAAATAAATTTTCTAATAAAAAATTAGGAGTACAGTAACGAAATATATGAATTTACGTATTACTTTATAGAGCACGGGGACAGCTTGAGCCAGAAATGTATTTAACTATTGAGAAGTATAAACTTCCTAATTTTAATTAATTTTACAAATAGTAAACTGGAAAGAAGGGTCTAAGAGAGACCTGGATCATGAATTTAGACTACATCATTGAGCCCTTGCTTTGACAAAAACCATTTAACCAACATTTATTACAGAAAAGGTTTCAAATAATCTTTCTCGTTTTATTTTGTACTTCTGAATATCGTTTTGAATGTAGACATAAAACTTTCGATGCAATAGATGTCTGGGAACTGGACAGGCGTACATACGTAGTTATGTCTTAGTATGGTTAAATATCCAAAGAAAGAGGATAATGGGACTTTATTTAATAAATGAATATATAACACTGTTAGCCATAAGACGTTACAGAGAAAAAAAGGAATTTTTGACAGAAAATATAATTTTATTTAGTGAACCATGTATTGAGAGAGGTCATTCGGGAGATACCTTCTATTGAGTGACAACATGCCCCAAGGATCTCCCCAGAAAGTCTGATGTGTCAGAGCTTGCCCAAAGGTGAGAACCCATCCATTTGTTTCTCTTTTTATCAGCTACAGAATCTTACCATACAATGTTATTTTATATGAACAACAATTCGGGGCCAACGGCACTTTCGAATTGTCTAATATGATTAAGAATAAATTAGTTATAGTAACGCTTCCCTGTTATAATGATCATTTCAGTATCTAGAATCCGTTTTACTTACCCAGAAAAATGTACCAAAAACGAAACTCTTTCTCCATTGTAGTGGCCTGATTTAGTGATATTTTCAGTGCGATATCTTATTTTAATCTCTTGCCAGGTTAAATGACTTCCCTAATCAAGTTTCCCAAAAATGGATTAAGTCCTTCAGAGGCGTTGAGTACTTAAAAGATTTTGGTGCCTTCCCCTACAATGTATTTATAGTATTATACCTGCTCTTTCCTAATTTCTTCTCTCTCGGTCTTGATTTAGCTACACCATACAGTCGATTGTAAAACTAGCTAAGAGAATTTTTTATGGTGCCCGCTTTTCATAAGTTCCAAGGACCTTTTTATGGTACCTTCTACATTTGATGCCCTGGGAATGTTCCTGTTTTGCTTAATGCTTAATCCAGCTCTGAATTTTTCCCCTCAGAAGTTTCTGGCATCCTTGAAGCCAGCTTAAGTATGCGGTATAAAGGTATAGGTTCCCATCTATCTAAAAACCTTCTATCGCGCTCCTCATAGCCTAACTTTCTTTGAGCCTCCCAATTATAACATTAGGAGAAAATCATCTATATCAACTAGTATATATACTAGTATATACAGCTAGACGAAATATGAATATAATATATATATAGTATCTTATAACATCAATGCAACAGCTGCTGCTGGATCTCATACAAATGTAATTTTCTCACACCACGCCCAATGCAGACCATACTGCTTTATTTTACATGTATTGCTGTTTCTGTTCCCATGCAAAGAACCCAGATGCAAATAATTTTGTACAACACTTGGAAGTTAGTTGAGAATATTCTTAGGTAATTAGAAAAGATTAACTGATTGCTGCAAAGCCCTTTCAAACTATCTCCTTTTAGCCATTACTGAAGATGTTCCAAGAAGTATTGGGTTTTATTTCTGTTGGCTGGAAAAATTCCGCTGAGTATTTCATGCAGTCATCTCCTTCACGCATTAGGAATCGAGCACGGAATGGAGCGTGCAGCATCCTTTGGTCTTATCTCGTCGGCTGTATGAAGACTGCAATAACAATTGAATGTCTTTGCATAAAAACTACTGTGATGCAGAACCATGAGTCTCACCTGACCATCAGCAATAATCAATGCATTATAATCTAAACATTCAATAAACTAATCGTTATGAATTAAATAGCTTTCTGCAGCAGGACTTAAATTCAATCAATGCTTACTGACCTGCTTGTATGAAAATAGAACTGCAAGAATAGATTTGCACAAATTAATGGGATTTAGATATGAGGCATTTAAATGGACGTTCGCAACCTGCGTAGCATTTTGTGGAACTAAAATTTTTAAGGAGAGATTTATAAATTAACATTTTTGTTGAGAACTGAAGAAGAAGGCTGAGGTTTCTAAGACGCGGCTAAGGACCATCAGCGGCCGAGCGGTAAATCGTTGACCACTGGGAATATGATCTGGGTTCGATTCTAAGTAACAGTAACTTCGTTATATTAATTCAAAATGTAACTATATTTTTGTTAATAACATCGTTTTATGTATTTCCAAGTTTTATATTCTTAAAAAACATATTTGCTGCTGTAAAGAAATTCATAGCAAGAGAAGTACTGAAACTTCCAGAGCAATCCCATCATTATAGTCCTGAGGCGAACTCATTTTGACATCTCTGACGTAAATACCTGCTAATGTGAATAATTGTAGAACATTAAATTAAACAAACAGCAGTACCTTAGGAAGAAATTTTGCTAAAAGTGTGTGATATCCTAATTATCACTCATATATCCCTCATTGTATAAAATGTATCGATGATATAATAAATTATGCATAGTATACGTCTGCCATCGTAAATGCATATTTCAACATTTCAGTTAATTTTTTAAGTGAAGGATTTTACCTCTAAATGTTCTGGATTGACAGAGCGAAAAGTGAAGAGCTCACATACTGGAAAAGAGGAAAGTAGCGCGAGCAATATTGGCGAGTGGCAACCCCTACACGGTTAGCGTAGCGGTTTGCTCCCCAAACATTTGGCCCCGGCATACGGTACGGCCGAGCGATCCAAACAGGACGGTTCATCCTCAGCTACAAATTCAGTGCTTACAAGTTCAAGTCATGATCTGTCAGTGTTCTTACTAACACTGTGCTACTGAATCATTTGCTGATGAGTTTTGATAATTGCCTAAAATTGGATTTTGTTACTTATAAAAAAAATATGATTTTCTGATCTTTCGTCAGAAATATAGTGTTGATACCGGAAGAACCTCTGCGAGGTCAGGTAAGAAAAAGACCGATTCTATTTGACCTTTCACTTGCGGGATTTTGACTTCGTGTTTTGTTTATGATGAACTTAGCTGAAAGCGGGCAGATGTCGTAATGCTGTCAGTAAAGATTTCCTTCTTAACGGCGTTTTACTAATATACCGCTAAGTACTAAGGAGAAAAATGCAGTTTTCACGTATTCTAGCACGTATTTCTTTCTTTAATTGCAGTTAAGAAATAATTTATAAGATTCTGTGTTTAACGAGGTAAAATTTAATTTAAAATTTTCCTAGAGAAGTAGCTTCGAAACACATAATCTTAATCTTCCAAATGGTAATTTTAGAGTACGTTTCTTTTGAACTTTCTTTCTCTGTAGACATATTTTACAATTTTTGCTTTTTCATGTTTAAAAATATGCTGAAAAAAGATCGCTGGTAATTCTATAGTATATTTATTTTAAGGATATATGATGTATGTTAATCCGTAAAAGCAATTAAATAATTTAACATTAGATTTAATAGAATATTTCTATGTCCTAAAATAATGAATACAGTTCTGTGCATCTGTTAAAATGTAAAAGTAATCAGTCCCAAAATTTTGCAATCGCGTGTTTTTTTTAAATTGAAAATCAGGCTGTAATATTCCACTTTGTATTTGACTGTCAAACTTCACGATGGTTAAAACAGTAAAAAATTCACGGTCGGTTCCTCCCATTCGTTAATGAATCACATGTGCTATTTTAAAACTTAATGATTTTAAGATATCCTTAAAATTTTAAAAAAGAAAAAAGAAATATTTGGAAGGGAAATGTCTTAGTAAGTTGCATGTTTGTAAGAAGTGAAGTGCTGCAAAATTTTAAATTTAGCATATAAGAAGTTAAAACTGTGTATAAGTAATTTGATTTTAATAAATTACAGTCTAAGATACTTTCATTCCTTTTTAAATGTTTATTAGACTAATCAGCAAAAAATAAGTTGAAAATTAAAGAACTAAGTCTCAGCAAAGCATTATTTACCTGTCATTTAGTAATATGACATGATTAAACCGGAGCTCAGAATAGCATCTATGTTCTGAGCTTTGAACAGAATATTTAAATAAAAGTCAATGAGCTGGTATTAGCTTTCCTGTAGTGTTTTTAGATTTTTAACTTGATTTGGCATGAAGTATTATGATTATTGTTAAACAGAAACACTAAAAAGTGTTTTGTGCCTGTCATTAGAAGAGTTTTGAAGACTTGTATATGCTTCACAGAGAGGAAATATAACTTTAAAAAAAAATTGTATGCGTTCTTTCCCCTTCTCCTCTCGTGTGGGTGGTCTTTGATTTCTCAGTTTTTCATTCTGTAAGCTAAATAATTAAATCTTTATTAAAACACTTCCTTTAAAAGAATTAGCAAAATGTAGTGGATTATTTTTTAATATTTAAATTGTTAAATGGGCATCGCTTCTTTTAAATTTCATAAGTCTAGAACTTTACAAAGAATGCGTGCAGTTCTGTCTTTTCCGCTTGTTACTAAATTGCGTATTTGTTTTGGGTAGTACAAACAATTCCATTGACTTATTTGTAGTAACCCAAGTACTGACGCATTTGTATCGCATCTGTATCTGCATTCCACTAAATCTATAGACACAAGTAATCATGCCGGTGTTTATGATGGCCGCTCGGAAGGACTTTCTTTTGGGGGCTTCGAAAGCTTGAGGGTAGTTTATCGATTTGCGCATGCTCAGTGGATGGTGGTGATGAAGCCGTGCCTGGGATTTCAGAATTGCTCGGAAATAGTACTGAAATATCTAAAAATAGTTTATATGTTACAAACTATAATGCTGAATCAAAGGAATCGTCCTAGAATGTTAGAAAGTATAAATTTGAATCAAAGGAATCGTCCTAGAGATACACTCGTATTTATTTGATTTCGACTAATTTTATAAAAGTAAGAATGAGGTATATCATTCGAGAAGGAATTTTGATATCAGTGAAGTTTAAAGAATTTCTTCAGAAATTTAAGATCTGGTAATAAATAATAATGGCTTTCAAAAAGAACTTTCGAAACAACTGATTAAAATGCGTCTACAGTGAAGAAATAACATAGAACATACTAAAATTTTGATAAAAATCTAAAAATATTTCTGATTTACTTAAACTCTGTATAAGTTATCTCATTAAATTTTCGTAATTAATTTTGCATAATATTTGATTTGAACTGTTAACATTAATGAGAATTGGCACTGGGCAAAACACAAATAGTAGCTCTCAACAAACAAATATACTGTCTTTAAAAGTGAAGTACTGCTTTATTTGGCAATGCATGGCTGAAATTTTGATGGAATCTTTGTAGATCAAATACATAATTTTTTATACATCGTCTTTGAACTATGCTCAAACTTAATAAATGAATTTTCATTTTTATTCAACTTAAATATATACCGAAATATCATTTTCAAGGAAAAAACTTATTTCTTTATGCTTCTAGATAACTTTTGTTTAAATTTGGGGGGGGGGCTTTCTATATAATACTTTCAAAATTACCAACTTGGTTAAATAATTGAAAACAACACGTTCAGTGTTTCATATTCAAAATATTTTTTAGAATTATCTACAGGATATCTTATATATTACTGGTTTACTATTTATAATGCCTTGAACCCGCTGAAGATAAAGTGCTTACAAAATACTGTATAATTACTCACCATTTGTAGATATTCTGAAATTTTTTTTTTTTTTTTTTTTTTTTTTGCTAAGATAAAGCATTTGTAGTGTATGTTATTTTAGCTGTCCTTATTTCAAGCATTTGTGAAACGGTTTTGAAGGTCAAGTTCACAGATATCGAAATGGAACTTTCCTCTATTGTAATCTAAATGTAGTAGTTAATAGGAACATAAAATTTGACGACACAGCACGAAAGAAATGTCATTGGGAATTTTTATCGTGTCATAAATAACATGCGAGTTTTATCCAGTCAAAATTTGAGCGAGGAATATATGCTATATTTAATTATCTGAAATATAGTGTTTAAGAAGTGATGAATTTGTGTGTCCGAAACAATTTTAATTTTTACGAGTCAGTATGTTTGTTTGCATATTTAACATCAGTACATACATTTGTATAAATCTGTGTTATAAAAAGGGATTTTTCTTAGTACCGAACGTTCTTAGTTCCGTGTTATTAGTGCACAAAGCAATTAAAATTTTTTAATGGTGTGCGTTTGTCATGGATGACATCGGATTTGATTCTTTGCGATTCGCTTTTAATTAATGGGAAGATTATTCGAATAGTCGTTGATTTTTGCATTTTGATGTCTGGCCTTATTAAATGTATATATTCTTGAAGAAAACCCATTACTGGTTTGCAAGCTTCTAAAATATAAACGCATTTTAGAAGCTTGCAAACAGATTGTACAAACAATGATCGCTTTGTACAGCACTTTGTGAAGAATTCATTTTCATTTGTAAAATATTAATGTTTTCAACAGGTGGTCACATGCATAGTTTATTCCAATGTTATTAATATATTTATTTCTCATACCCTATACTCATTTAATGTAAAAGATCAGTTCTTCGCTCAAAATTGTTGTCCGTATCTTCTTAGAAAAGAAATATTGGTTTGTTATAGGAGTTTCCTAGGAATGTTGTTTTTAAAGTTCGTTTGCCTTGGCATCGGCTTCTTTAAAAGAAGATATCAATTAAGCCCTTCTACCTGTTAATTTTCACCTCCTTTTAAACCAGTATGAGAAAACCATTAAGTATCCCAAAATTACATTAAAAAATGCTATTACATCTAGCACATCGATGTTATCGAACTGATTAAAATTCGCATACAAATTGAAAGTTTAAATACGATAAATTAATATTTTTAATTGCAACAAAATATCGAAATAGAACAAAGTTTATAGGAGAAATTCATAAAAAAAAAACTAATGTTTATGTTTAGTTTATATATTTAAAATCTTTTGTGCATTTATATAGATTTAATCGAATATTAACAAAATGAGACAATTTAGTATCTGGTTTATTTGGAAAATTTACAATTCATTTCAACTTCCTCCTAGAATAAACTGTTTGCGTTTGGAGCTTTGCTAATTAAAGTCTAATGTTCTGCTTGATGCGAGTCTGATTTCAAGATAATTTGTGGCATAATTGCGAGCTCTTGTAGTATGTTTCTTTCTGTTTCACGCATATCACGAAAACGTGTTAACTCCTGCCTAAACAATAGTGTTTATGCAGTTGCTTATCGTTATATGTTATCTGAAGCATGTATAATCAGTGTTTTTAGGTAAAATTTCTAAATTGTTGCGATACGACTTCCTTTCCTTGTTGTTTCCTATACGAAGTGGTCGAAGAAACTAGAAATGAAGAATAAAAACAAGATATGCGAGCGCAGAAATGTTAACATTCTTAGTAAATATCCGATTTCAAGCTTCACCAAGTGCCAAAAATCCATCAACAATATTTGATTAATGATGTGCGTACCTTTAAACTCTCTACTAAGATGTTGAATATCGTAAGCTCTAGCTCGGGGGGGGGGAAGTCATTAAGTTGTAATAAACATCAACTCGTTATTTAACATTAAGAAGACTATTCAGCTTGAGTGTGAAAAGAAAAGTTGATAATTTCAGAAGCATTAAATCAAGAATGTAAATGTTAAAGAATTTCCATAAAATAATGTCCTTCCAAACATTTCTCGCAGACAAGGCCGCGGTTGAATGCTACAGAAACGGTTCGGGATGGCACTTAAGCTGGTCTGAACTCGTCAGTTTTGTACTGCTTTGGTAAGTGTTGCATTGGGTTTCATTTTGCAAAAATAACGAATTCTACTGACAATAAATACTTTAGAATAAAATTGTTACTTATTAGTTCTTTTCACTTACTTCCGCTGTCGAACTTTCATTGATATTTTTAATAACTGAATTAATAAAACACTGAAATTATATTAATTCAGTATTTTAATTAATGAATCTTTAATTAACATTGATATTTATAACTGAATAGTGAATTTTAACTGAGTCATAAAATCCCAAGCA